AGATCTACCTGCCTCTGCCTCTCAAGTGCTGGGATTAAAGGCATGTGCTTCTGCCACCTGGCCATAAATCCCCTTTCTATATATAGATTAATGTTCTATGTTCTGTTCCTCTAGAGAACCTTGACTAACACAACCTCATTATTTATTTTTATGTGCATGTATGTGTGCCTTTGTGTGCACCACTTGTGTGCAGCTGCTGGTGGAGGCCAAAGGGCATGAGATCCCTTGGAACTGGAATTACAGATAGTTGTGGGTCATCTGATGAGGGTGTTGGGAACCAAGCCTGGGTATTTGGGACGAAGATTAAGTTCTCTTAACTACTCACACTGAACCATCTCTCCATCCCCCCCTTATTCTTGGAAACTAGGTCTCATGTAGCCCAGACCAGTCTATAATTTGTGACACAGAGCTGAAGGTGACCATAAACTCCAGATTCACCTGCTTCTACCTTCAGAGTCCTGGTTGGGTACCAAAGTCAGGGCTTCATGCATACTAGGGAAGCACTCTAGCAACTGAGCCGCATCTCTGTCCCACACAGAGTTTTTAAAACAACAACTGCGTTGGGCAGAATAGCTGTGCTGGTGAAGGGACTTGCTGCCAAGACTGATGACTTGAGCTCAATACCTAGAAGCCACATGGTGGAGAGAACTGACCCCTGCAGCTTGTCTTCCGACTTAATTGCACACGGCTGAGCACCGCATGCAAAATAAATAAATGTATTAACAAGTGGCTACCAAGAACTACATATTAGAGTTAGTTTTGTTGTTCAAATTCCTTCCCTGGTGGAGATGTAAACAACACTGACCCCAGTTCCTAGGGTCCCACTGACAAACAAAGGGGCAATTTCACCAAAGTTCACCTGGGAAACCAGCGAGTTCATTAGGCTCCCTTGCAGAGCGATGAGTGAGGTGGTACGGCCAGGAGCCTGGAAGGACTTCAAGCAGTCACCCTGGAAGGTCTGCCCCCAGCCTGGATGGTGACTGAATGGCTACACAGACGGAGGCCTCTTCTGCAGTCCTTCCCAGCCTATGGACCTGTACACAGTCCAGTGGTTCTCCACCTTCCTAGTGCTGTGACCCTTTAACACAACTCCTCGCGTTGTGGTGACCCCCCCAACCATAAAATTATTCATTGCTGCTCCGTAACTGTACTCTAGCAACTGTTCTGAATTGTAATGTAAAGATCTGCTATGCAGGGTATTCAATACACGATCCCAAAGGGGTCACGTCACACAAGTTGAGAGCCACCGCTCCAGCCCCTCCCTTCGGCCATGTGCAATTAGGAAGGAATGCATGTGACTGATTGGGAGGTGTGCTGGCCACTCAGGTGAGAGTCCCACTGCCCCAGACTCCCCCTCCTTCTATGAAGAAGGATCAATGGTCAGTGAGCCCAGTTGTGATGATCTTTTGCAGGCACAGATGATCTGGTGAAGATACGGTAGCTTGGCTCATAGGATTGTCTAGTACACATTTTTGATTCTTCAATGGTTTGGTGCCCTGAAAGGGGTGGATGTTTCGGTGCCCTGAAAGGAGTGGTATGAGCAAAGAGGAGTAAAAGGTGTCTTACCTCTACAGTACCATTCAGCTATGTGTGTAACTGGCTTTCTGTCTGAAAAACAGGGTCTCCTCAGACATTTGCTCTCCTCTCAGTAGACTGGCATGCAGCAACAAATGCAATGTCCATACCTGTTTTCATCATTCTGACATATTTAACATATATGTACACAATATGTATTTTGAGACAGGGTTTCACCATATAACCCAGTTTTGGCTCCAATGCATGATCCTCTTTCCTCAGCCTCCCCTGTTCTGGAGTTGCAGGATGCCAACACGGCCCCTTTCTTACCCTGTCCTACTTCAAACCACAGCGTTTCTCACGGGAGCACCTGCCCGTTCTCCCTCAGGTTTCTGTGGAGGAGGCTCTCTGCACCTGCCTCCTCCCGCACCCCACCTGACCTGCGCCACCCTTTGGTAAACATGGGCTCTGCTAGGCTGTGGTCACGGAGGTTCTGGTTTCACTGTTACTGCGTCTCTGGTGCCAGCGTTAAGGGCAGTGAACTTTCAGAACGACCTTCCCTTTCTTCCAGGATGTGGTGGAAAGACAAAGCCTGAGCAGGAACCAGTCGAGTGGAAGGCAGCCAGGCCAAGTCAAACACCACCACACTGGATGTTCTAATGGTTTCAGTTCCCAGAGTTTCCTGAGAGGGGGTAGTTCCGTGGGAAAGGCTCTTGAGAGCACCTTGCGGAGGGCGCTGCTTCTCAGAACGAGGTGCCACAATGAAGGGAACGTGAAAAGAATGGGAGATCTCTTTCATGTAGCTGCCTCTCTCCACTGCCCACCCCAGATTTCAAAAAGAATCCCCAAGAGGCATTGTGGTGTGCTACAGTAATGCCAGTACTAGGGAGGCTGAGGCAGGAGGATTATACTTGAGCCCAGGAATTTGAGGCCAATTTAGGAACCATAACAAGGTCTATCCCCTTCTCATTCAAAGAAAGAAAAGAACCAAACCTCAGTGTGGCCCTTTGTGCTGTGTGTGTGTGTGTGTGTGTGTGTGTGTGTGTGTGTGTGTGTGTGACGGGGGTGCAGGCTAAAGTGCCCCACATGAAACTGGAGAACATTTGCTTTGGAGAGAACACCAAATATAAAATGCTTCATTGGACTCATGGGGAAACTGAGGCACAGATAACAGAAAAAACTTTGGCCAAGACAACCTAGGAAGCTGGTGACAGAACACAGGGTCCCCAAAGAAACAAAAATGAGTTCAGAGTCACCATATTTCTCTTAACTTCCTCTGTACTCACACTTGCCCAGCATGGTGAGGCCTCCCACAGTGGTTGTTGTTAGCTAACTTTAGCCAGCTGTTAGCTTCTGCTGTTTTTGTGGTGGGTTCTCATGTCTGACCCGGCACTTACTGTGTAGCAGAGGCTAGTCTTGAATTCCTGAACCTCCTATCTCCGCTTCCTGAGGGCTAGGATGACAACATGTGTGCCACCACGCTCCACCCAAAGTGTGACTTTGACCTCCTCCAAGTAGGATCTCTCCTAACGTTTCATGTGCATCCAAAGCCTTTAATACTTAGGAAGATGGGGGATCTAAGAGGCATGATAAATTATTCTCGGGGTGAGTGTTTATGTGTGGGTGCACATGAGTTAATTGTCATACGGATTTTGTCCCTGCCTTTTGCTGGTCTTCCTGCCTCTGCCCTCTTTCCAGTCTGGGAGACAGCTAATATAGTGTCTGTGGGAGCAGTTGCCACATCACTATATGGCCCTCAGAAGTTGAAGGATTCCTTGTACGTTATCTCATTCCATGCGGTTTGAACAACGCCTCCCAAGGTCCAAGTGTTAAAGGCCAGTATACAATAGGGAGTGGTAGAATCCTCTCGAGGTGGGGCCTAGAGGGAGGCCCACTAGTCACTCGAGGGGACAGTGGGCCTCTTCCCGGAGATGAGTGGTTTGTACCGTCTGTGCTCCCCCTGTAGGGTGTTGCCGAGAACTCAAAGCACTGGGGCCAATCGCTACTCAACCGACACCTCTAAAATTGTGAAACAGAATGAACCTTTTCTATCTGTCAGTTATTGCAAGTGTTTTAATGGTGAAGGAAAGCTGAGAAACACATCTCATTCACCCCTCCGAAAGTTTCATAAGCCTTTCCTGCCCCTGTTATAAATGAAGAATGGGGGCACAGAGTAGTTAAGTAATATGTCCAAGACTACAAAGCAAGCACAAAGCTAAATTGAGATTTTAATTATATTAATTAATTAAGTGTGTGTATGTATGTATGTATGTATGCACACATGGGCGTGTGTGGCAGTCAGCTGATAACTTGTAGGAATCGAATCCCTTCTGCGCAGTGCTGGTGGCACACACCTTTAGTGCCAGCACTCCCAGAACTCCCCGAGGAGTGAGGGAGCTGTGATACTCCGCTTCCCATCACCACAAAAGCACTTGAGATAAGTCAGCTCACGGATAGAAAAGATTCATTTTGACTCACAATTTTGGAGGTGTCGGCTCAGTAGCGACTGGTCAGAGGCAGGCGGAGCTCTGTGAGTTCGAGACCAGCCTGGTCTACAGAACTAGTTCTAGAACAGCCTGGGCTACATAAAGAAACCGTGTCTCAAAAAACAAAACAAAAACCCTTCCTTCTTCTACCTGCTACAGATGGCTTTCAGGTGATCAGGCTTGACAGCAAACGCCTTTGCTGATGAGCCATCTCACTGACCCCAGAAGTGGGCTTATAACATTTCTACTTAGTATTATTGCATCTCTCTGTGTCTAGACGTCAGATGACAACTCTCGCCTTCCACCCTAACTGGGTTCCAGAGATTGTACTCAAGGTGCCAGGCTGTGGAGAAAAATCCCTTTACCCACTGACCAGGTTTGTTGCCAGCTCGGAATCGGGATTTGAAAATGTCAGGTGTGAGGTCAGTGAGAGATTAGACAGAGAAGGAAAGAAGCCACTCCACACAGTGCGGGTTCAATTCTGGAAAGAGCGGAGGAGGGGAGATCTAACTCAAGAAGGCAGTGAGCTCAGAGTCAGCTGACAGGGCTTACAGACTGCCGTAGCCAGCACAGGAGAAGTGGGCAGGGGAGGGAATGAAAAGTAGCCTTTTTAGGCTTAGGTTGAACTTTGCTAGGGTTAATCGGGGACTGTTGAGTTAGGAATGTCAGATGATTATTAAACATCTCGGGTGACTGGTCATTCCTGAGGGTGATAGGGCAGGGAGGGCAAAATCTAGAAAAACATGTTACTTAAGTTTCAGAAACCAAATTGCTCTCTCCCTCCCTCCCTTCCTCCATCCCTTCTTCCCTCCCTTCCTTCCTTTCTTTCTTTCTTTCTTTCTTTCTTTCTTTCTTTCTTTCTTTCTTTCTTTCTCTCTCTCTCTCTCTTTCTTTCTTTCTTTCTTTCTTTTGTCCTTCCTTCCTTCCTTCCTTCCTTCCTTCTTTCCTTCCTTCCTTCCTTTCCTTGAGACAGGGTTGTGTAGCTCTGGCTGTCCTGGAATTACTCTGTAGACCAGGCTGGCCTCAACTCAGAGATCTGCCTGTCTCTGCTTCCCAAGTGCTGGGATTAAAGGTGTGCACCACCACTGCCCAAACTACTTTCTTTCTGGGAATCAGCATCATTAAACGAACTTGGAGGCCTTGTGTAAGATGGCGTGGTCCTGACTGACACCAAGTTCAATGGCTGAGCTCCGACTTTGCCACAGATCTTTTCTCTGAAGCGCCCCATCACTGTGTCCTCTGTTTTGCTGGTCAGAGCTCAGATCCCTACTTTGGCAGGAAGGACTGAATGCCATGGCTCTCTCTACCCTGCAGGTAAGTTAATTAACCTTGTGGTGTCTCGATTTCCTCATCTATTAGTCAAGAATGACAGTTAAAACTGTGGCCACTTCGTGGAACTGTCTGGAGGAAGAGGAGGAGGAGAGCACAACGTTACCCAAGTCGAGCTTGGCTCAGACTCCAGAGGGAATCAAGAGCAGATCTCTGTAAAATGTCACATAGTTACCTTTGGACATTGTTCTTTGCAGCTTCCTTGTAGGTCGCTTTTGACCAGGATGTTTCCACAGATAAACAGCACTCATTGAGGAACTGAGGACACATTCCCTCCCTAGAATGTGCCCCACTCCCAAATACCACCCTCTCCAGATGCCCCCATTCTCCAAATATCCTTCTTTGGTGGTTGTCCCCCCCACAAACTTCTTGCACTTATTCCCACCATGTTCATTTCTTCATGTGTTTGTGTAAACCCTGTGTGTGTGTGTGTGTGTGTGTGTGTGTGTGTGTGTGTGTGTGTGTTTTGCTTTGGCTTTTTAAGAAAAGCTGTTACCCTGCAGCCCGGGCTGGGCTAGAACCGCCTGGCAATCCTCCCTGCTCTGCCTGCCCAGGACTGGGTTAACAGGCATGTGCTACCAACCACACCTGGATGTTTGATCATTTGTTAAATATTTATCAAGAGCCTTCTCTCATAACAATGACTATGTTTGAACTTGTCCTTTACAAAGGGTGTTGTGACACCTCTGTCTGTAAATACTCACAAAGCCTGGGGAGGGGCTCCCGTGTCCCCTTATTCTAGTCCTGCTAGCTGTTGAGTGTCAGTGTTGGACTATTCGGGGTGCATGGGGTGGAGCAGACAAGGACCCCTGACTTCAGAATGCATATAACCTTATACGTAGAGCAAGATTTCTCTCTCTCTCTCCACTTGGGAACAATCCAAGGCAGGCAGAGTAGAAGCAGTAGCAGAGATGGTGCCCTTGCCTTATAGGCTCAAGGCTGTAAACCTGCATGGACAGAGTTTCAGGCAGCAGGCACTATGAGCAGCAAATGGGCCACCTTTGCTACAGGGAGACATTCAAACACAAAAACTGCCAGTTCTGCTGAGCAGGCTCTCCAGATTGCCCACATAATCTGCAATAGAGAGCAGAGCCAATCAGAGAAGGAACTGTTACCTTTCCAAGGAGAGGAGGGGTTCCCTCTGTCTTGGAGTGTCTCCTCCAATTGTAGGGCTGTCTCCTGGACTGAAATCAGCTGCAATAAATTGTTTCCTATTTCCCACATGTGGTAGTTTAAATGTAGTTGGCCCCCATTATCTCACCGGGAGTGGCACATAGGGAGGTGTGGCTTTGTTGAAGTGGGTCTGGCCTTGTTGGGGGAAGAATGTCACTGTTGGGGCCAGGTTTTGAGGTTTCCTATGCTCAGGATACCTAGTGTCTCAGTCAACTTCTTGTTGCCTGCAAGATGTAGGACTCTTGGCCACTCCTTCAGCGCCACGTTTGCCCGCATGCTGCCCTCTTCTCCGCCACGGTGATAATAATTTGAACCTCTAAAACTGTAAGCGAGTCTCCTCAATTAAATGGTTTCCTTATAAGAGATGCCATGGTGAATAGAAACCCTAACTAAGATACCACTCAACTGTAATTTAAGGGACTGATTTCGGTTTTACATATCTTTACCTGCAATCCACAAAAGACAGTGAGTCCCATGGCCTATACACTCAGGGTAGGACAAACTATCCATAGGAGAGGTTCTTTAACGCCAGCAGTGTCTGAAGAAACCACGTGTCCAGATAGATTCCTCTTCTAGAGGCTGAGGTCAACCCCTCTCAGCTTCTTGCTCCTGAACCCTTCATTCTCTGTAATGTGCTATGTAGTACATTTATGTGATGTAATGTAGTATGTAAAATACATGGATGTAATTCATTATATAACAGAAAGTAAGTTTCTTGGGAACTGTATATGGCAATATTGAACAATGCATTTATATCTCCTTGGCTACATAGGGAGTTCAAAGCTAGGCTAGGATAGATGAGCCCCGTCTCATATGTATATATCATATAATACATAGAATACATGTATATGTATTATTATATATATTTGTACTGGTTGGTTTTGTATGTCAACTTGACACAAGTTAGAGTCATCAGAGAGGAAGAAGCCTAAGTTGAGGAAATGCCTTGATGAGATCCATCTGTAAGTAGTTTCCCATTTATTGATCACTGAGGGAGGGCCCAGTCCATGGTGGGTGGTACCATCCCTGGACAGGTAGTCCTGGGTTCTATAAGAAGGTGGGCTGAGCAGGCTAGGGGAAGCCAGCCAGTAAGCATCTTTCCTCCATGGCCTCTCCATCAGCTCCTGCCTCCAGGATCCTGCGCTGTTTGAGTTCCTGTCCTGCCTTCCTTCAGTGATGGACTATAATGCTGAAGTGTGAGCCAAATAAACCCTTTTCTCCCCAACACACACACACACACACACACACACACACACACACACCTACTAGTTTATAGAAAATAGCAATTCAAATGCTAACTTATAGGGAACATGATGACGATGCCAACAGATGCAACCACCAAAATTAAGAGCATGAGAAAGTGCATGAGATGAACTACTCAGTTTCTGAGAGAGCTGCATAGTGCCATGCCTTAAAGATGGCGCTGGTTTCCACCTTCCACCTCCCCGATGGTGAATGCTCTCGGTCACAAACAACTCCATATATGGCTAAGGATCTGGCTTGTTTCTGCATTTCTGGACCTATCTGCATTTCCCATGTAGCATGCTGGGGTTGGCTACCCAGAGGCTATTTAAGCTGTGGACTGGCTTTTCCCCGGGGTCAGAAGATTGTTCAAGGTTCCTGAATAAACTGCAGTGAGAAGAGTCAAGTGTTGCATCTTCTTTGCTGGTCGAGGCAGACAGGACAAGTTTCTTGAACAGATACATCACAAGGAGGAAGATCCTGCCAAGCAAAAGAGACTGACTTGTTCTCCTGAGATCCCTGTGAATGAAATGATATGACATGATTCCCTTACAGAATAATCCAGGGAAGGGTTAGTGCTAAAGATTGACATAAAGACCTGGGTGTGGTAGCTAGCCTGATCCACAGACTGAGTTCCAGGACAGCCAGGGAAGCCACAGAAAAACCCATCCCCAGAACACACAACAGAACAAAAAAGCAAAACCAAGCTAAACAAACGCAAAAAAAAAGATTTACAAGAATACTTATTTTATTTTATGAAATGTTTGATCCTATAATCAAAATGAAATCCAATTAAGGTCCTTTAAAAAAAGATTAGTTGGGCTGGGCAAGCCTTTAATCCCAGCATTTGGGAGGCAGAGGCAGGCAGATCTCTGTGAGTTCGAGGCCAGCCTGGTGAATTCCAGGATAGCCAAGGTTTTACAGAGAAAACCCTGTCTCGAAAAAAGCAAACAAACAACAACAGAAGATTAATGGGGTCTGGAGAGATGGGTCACCCGTTAAGAGCACTGGTTGGCTTTCCAAAGGACCATAGTTCATTTCCCAGCACCCACATGGCAGCTCACAACTGTCTGTAACTCCAGTTCCAGAGAATCTGACACTCTTCCACCACTGCATGTTAAAAAATTACTTAAAAAGGAAAGAAGATTAGCAGTGAGTTGCTGTTATTGTTATTTTAGTGTTGTTGAGACAGGGTCTCAAGACGTAGCACTGGCTGCCTTGGAACTCTCTTATAGACCAGGCTATCCCTGAACTCACAGAGCTCTGCCTGCCTCTGCTGGGATTAAAAGTTTACACTTAAAAGTTTAATCCCACTGACACTTCATGTGGTCCATGTTGTTAATTATTGAAGCTGGTACATTTGTTACTTTTCTCCTTGCTACAAGAAGTTACCTGACAAAAGCATTTTAAGAAAGGAAGGGTTTAGTGTGGTTCACAGTTTGAGCAGAAGGTCCATCTTAGCAGGGAATGCATGGCAACCGGAGTGTGGGGCAGCTGGTCACATCTTATCTACAGTCAAAAACAGAGACATGAAGGTTGGTGCTCAATTCGCTTTCAAGTTTGTGTGTGTGTGTGTACATGTTTAGACGGGTGTGCGCACAAGTGCATATGTGTGGAGGCCACAGGTTGAAGGTAGATGTGTCTCCCTTTATCTCTCTAGACTTCATTCTTTGAGACAAGGTTTCTCACTACACCTGAACTTTGTAGAAGTGATGAGTCCATGAGAGCCAGACTTCTAGCTAGCTGGCCAATGAGCTTCAAGGATCCCCTTGTCTCCACCTGCATTGTGCTGGGATTACAAACACATGCTACTCACCAATCTCTGGGGTGATGGGGAGCCAAACTCGGGTCCTTAAGTTTACTTTTTCTTTACTTTCTTTTTGTTTGTTGGTATTTTTTTCCAGGCCAGGTTTCTCTGTGTAGCTTTGGCTGTCCTGGAACTTGCTCTGTAGATCAGGCTGGCCAGGAACTCAGAGATCCAGCAGACTGTGTCACCCAAATGCAAGGATTAAAGGCGTGCACCACCACACCCAGCTTGGTTGGTCCTGAAGTTTCCACAGCAGGCATTTTTACCAACTGAGCTGTTGTGGGGTATTCACCAGAGAAGGCTGCTCAGACCTGTGTTTAAGCCAATCGAAAGTCTTTATTAGTCAGCCAGTGTGTGGGTGTTTGGGTTCTTAATGTATTAGAAACTTTCCATAGTAGCCAGGCATGGTGGTACATACTTGTGATCTGAGGCAGAAGAGTTATGTGACTCAGAGGCCAGCTTGGGCTACTACAAAGGGAGATCTTGTTTCAGAAAAAAAACAAAGAAAACAACAGAAACAAAAGAACAACAAAGAAAATGAAAGAACTGAAAAGAGAAAAAATGATGTTAGGAAATAACTGGACAGTAGCAAAGTGGACGGCGTTTTCTAAGATAGTGTCCTGTGACGTTGTCTCTGGTGTGTGACATGACACAGGTTCTGTCTTCCACAACCACCCTTCCGATCCGACTTAGTGGTTGGTTTTGGCTGAGAAGGATGCAACACACACACACACACACACACACACACACACACACACACCCG